AAGCTGTTATTTGGGGGCAGGTTATGGCATTGGTGATGTATGTGAGTGAGTGCTAAATGAAAGTAAAAAGAAACTGAATTAGAATGTAATGAGCACAGAACTGGATAGTAACATGTTTAATGTAATCACAGTTGCATTACTAGATTACAAAAGTAAGTATATTCCATTCTCTTCACATGTTAAAATATTAATTGATCACACCTGATTACTTATTTAACCCAGCCACAAGATAGTGTACTCCTAGTGTAGTCCTAGTCCCAAGCCTCGATAAATGAGGATTGGGATTGGGTCAGAAAGGGCGTCCAGTGCAAACATGCAGATCAGCACAAATGAGATCTCTATACTGGCGTGGTCGGGCCTGGATTATCAACGACTGCCTCCAGTGCTGTTTGTGAACAAGGTGCCAAAAGAAACTGAGAGGAATTATGAAGTAACTTGGATGAAGTGGAAGAGACAGTCCTCAGGCGGGAGAGAGTGGTGACTGACACAGACTTCAATGGACTTGAAGGAACAGAGCTGATGAGGTGGTGTTGGGTAGGTCTGGTGTTAAGGAGAGAAATGCAGAAGGACGCATGCTAGTGGATTTTGTCATTGAAATGGCTGTGGTGAAGAGGGAGGACAGCCTGTGACTCAAAGATTGAATAATGTGACTCTTTTATGTCACAGTGTGGCATAAAAGGGTGGAGGAAGGTGCACACAAGTGTTTTGGGGCCTCTGCTGTTTTTATTGTATCTGCTTGGGCAGATTCTGTCAACCTTTAAGGGTCTCTTTTATCACTGCTATGGAGATGATATTCAGTTGTACACGTCATTTCATTTAAATGAAATGTCTAAACTCCACAGTTTGTTAAAGTGACTAGACAGTGTTAAATGGTGGTTGGGAGGCAGTTCAATTAAATCAAGACAAAACTGAAATAATGATCACTGCATCAGAAAAATGCATGTCTGGGAAAAAGGAGACACTTGGACCTCTTGGTTCTTTGGCAAAATCCTCTGTTAGGAATCTTGGCATAAATTGCAGGCAAGATGGCGCTTGTGTTTGACTGTACCTCTGCCTTTGTTCGTGTGTTTGTTTACATGTTGTGCAAGTGTTTTTGCTACACTTTTGTTTGGCATCATCACCATTCAGTTTTCTTTCATGCATTGTTGGCGAACAAATCTGCTATGGATAATTTTCAGAGTCAACAAAATGTCTGTTCATTTCTCGGTGCACCTCGGATATCTGGACGAGGAGGTGGAACAGCTGTAATTTTAAAAAAGATATTCTTAAGCCAGATGATCTCTTTGAGCTGTCACAACTCAACACAGAGGGAAACAAGGGAATGGCACACAGGAGGGGGACACAGCTGAGCCTCATTAAAGAGACAGGGAGGAAGCAAAACAGAACACAATGACATAAGACACGGACCTTCAAAGTACAACAGGAAGCACCACAATTCACAAAGAGGAGACTAGACAAGGGGACACAGCTGACAGGCATAAAAGCAGTGCTAAAGAACTAAACAACTCCACAAGATATAACAGGAATTTAACCAAAACAAAAGATATTAATAATCAAAGCATAAACTATAGATTATCCGACTCAGAACCACGACACTAACTGAAACTATCAACAGCATTGTTTCTCCAACATTTCAATATGCTGTTTGTAAATATGGTGATGAATGTGCGATCCAAAATCTCCTCAAGTGCTTCCCCTTATGAAGATGTCCCCGTGTTTCTTGGGTCATTTACTTCTTTTTCTCCAACCACACTCAATGACTTAACTACAGTAACAGGTCAAATGAAATGCTCATCGTGCTCCTTAGATATATTACCTCCGTCTGTCCTGTCTGGGACACCAGTATTGGCCCCACATTGCTATCCATCATCAACAGTTCACT